TGCTCACACCTCCCGCCTGTGCGAGGCCCATTTACACCGGGTGTGTTCCCTTAAAGCCGGTGCTAGCGTAAGACACGAGTGTGTCGGTTCTGCTTGCGGTGCTGTCTCTCAAACGTGTGCGCGTTGCAGTGGAAGTTAACGCTGGTGCGCAGTCACTCGTGAGCCCTTTGCACTGAGCGATTTGGGTGAAGAAGAGGTTGTTGCTGAAGCACTTTCAGCCTGTTAGGCTGTTGGGAGTGCTCTGCCCAAATGCCCCAATATTCCCTTCTCAGACCTTGCTGCTTTTCCTTGTTAAGAGTTCTTAAATTTAAGAATTACAGAATACTTAGGGTTGGAAAGGACCTTAAGATCATCGAGTTCCAACCGCTTGCCATGGGCAGGGACGCCTCACACTGGACCGTGTCGCCCAAGGCTCTGTCCAGCCTGGTCTTGAGCAGTGCCAGGGATGGAACATTTACCATTTCTTTGGGCAACTTGTTCTAGGGCCTCACCACCCTCGCCGTAAAGAACTTCTTCCTTATATCTAACCTGAACTTTAACTATTAAGTTGAACCCATCTTCGGCTGCATCACAAGAATAGTGGCTAGCAGGTCGTGGGAAGGGATTCTGCCCCTCTACTGCACTTGGGGGAGATCCCCCTGCAGTCCTGATCCACCTCTGTGGCAACAGCACAAGGGGGACGTGGAGCTGTTGGAGTGAGTCCAGAGGAAGCCACGGAGATGCTGCAAGGGCTGGAGCAGCTCTGCTCTGGAGACAGGCTGAGAGAGCTGGGCTGGTTCAGCCTGGGGAAGAGAAGGCTCCTTAAGGGGAGACCTCAGAGCAGCTCCAGTGCCTAAAGGGGCTACAGGAAACTTGGAGAGGGGCTTTGGACAAGGGCCTGTAAGGACAGGACAAGGGGGAATGGCTTTAACCTGACAGAGGGAGACTGAGATGAGCTCTTGGGCAGAAGTTCTTCCCTGTGAGGGTGGTGAGGCCCTGGCACAGGGTGCCCAGAGAAGCTGTGGCTGGCCCCTCCCTGGACACAGGGACTTGGAGCAACCTGGTCTAGTGGAAGGTGTCCCTGCCTGTGGCAGGGGGGTGGAAGTGGATGAGTTTTAAGGTACTTCCCAACACAAACCATTCTGTGATTCTGTGAAAATCGTATGGTGAGTGTCCTTCCCACCCAGTACTTTTGGGTGGGTGGTAGTAATTAAGGCAGAGGTTACTGCGTTGGTTGATGTTAGCCTTTGCGTGTAGCCGGTTTTAACAGGGCATCATCTGTGCGTGTTGGTGTACTGACTGGTAGCTGTGCAGTTTTCAAGAGGTCAAATCCAAAATCCATATTTACGGAAGTCTTGCTGTCATCTAGTTCTTCAGGCAGAGAAAGAATTAGGGGCCTCCTGTCGTGAGTTTAAATACCAAAATCTTGGCATAACTATTTAATAATCATGGTGGACCTTAGCTTCATCTACCAGTTCTTGGCTTCAGAACATGCAGCACAAGTAGCTATTTTGAGCTGGCTCACTAGAGCAGGCCTCAAGTAAAAAAGAAATCATAACAAGAGTCAGACTCTTGGAAATCCATGGAGAATGTGGAAGAGCAGTCCAGCGCTTTAGGCAGGAAGGGTAACTTGTGCGGGATTTGGTAATCACTGAGGTAAATCCTGCATTTGGTAGTATTTTGTGCTCACCCAGTTTACTCAGTGTGGTTAAATACACCAGCACAGGAACTGAAACACTTCTCATGCTACAAGGTTAGTGCAGGCAGCAGGCACTGATCACCCGAATATATTTCTGGCTGCATTTCTGTTTTAAGTGGAGCCATTGCAGCAGCAAGGGTCTCTTGACAATCTTGTTTTCTGTCTGTAATTTCTCCTAAGGTAGATGTCCTCCCAGTGAGGACAGGAAGGAGCTGAACTCAGGCACTGTGCTTAACATGGGCACAACTCCTGTGTGCTTACCTGGTGTTGCAGAAAACTACCAATCTTTATGTACTTTGTCATGGTGAGGTTTGTGGCTGGGTCTTCCGTGCTAAGGGAGTTACTGTCTCAGAATCAAGGTGCTAATTCCCCAAAGGCACTTAAATCTTTGCAGAGTATTCACTTTAGACTGAAAAGCTGAACTTACTGAGAGCAGAATGAGATTTGTTCTGAGCAAGAGCAGGGAAAGCGGAGAGCTGACTTCATAAGGGGAGATGCCAGTTTTAAGTTATGCATGGTTTCTGCCTTAGACTGCCAGAAGCAGAAAGTGTCCAACCCGCAGCTGTGGCTAGGTGAACTGGACACCCATAGGTTTTAATATCCCTTACTCCTAAGTTTTCAATTTAATGAGGAGCTAAGAGTAATTTACTTCACTCGAAAGCACTGAGGTAAAGTCCCATGTGTTTCACAGAGGTACTTGCCACTGATAGATGAACATACGTTAAGTGAATATGTATGTGTGAAGTGACTTTCATTCTTCTAACATGAAGTGAGGAGGTTTGTTACCTTGTAAATACCTTCTTGCTTTAACATCGTTCATATTTGTTCTTCGACCTTTTCTCACGTCATACTGTTTGAATGGGTATCGGTTAAAAATAAAAGGCAGAACAAATTGTATTTCTCAAGGAAGCAGTACTCTTTAAACATTTCTGGTTCAGTGGAGCTTTGACATTTAAGCTGTTGGTTTTATTTTTAGGTTGCAGATATCAAGAGAGTTAACAATCTTATCAACGATCAAGATTTTTTTGCCCTGAGGTCCATCAAAATTCCAGTAAAGAAGTTCAGCGTCTTGACCGAAGCGCACGTCTCTCCAAAAGGAAGACCGGTTCTTCGGCCTGCTCACTGCTCCCTAGAAGCACAGGAAATGGCACCTCCTGATAAATTCCCTGTTAACGAGACCGCTGGCAACTTCTTAAAAGAAGTGGATCGAGATATAGAGGAAATAGTGAAGTGTAATGATACGAAGAGAGAGAATCTTGATGAAGTTGTTTCCGCCTTAGCAGCCCAGCAGATCTCTTTCGAAACTGATAGTAAAGCTAAAAAATGCAAGGATCCTTACTATGGAGCAGATTGGGGTATAGGATGGTGGACAGCTGTAGTGATTATGTTGATTATTGGCATAGTAACTCCGGTGTTTTACCTCCTGTATTACGAAGTTCTAGTGAAAGCAGATGTCAGTCACCATTCTACAATGGAATCTTCCCATCTGTTTGTTACAGCAGCATCACATCAGAAACAAATAGAAAATGGAGTAAATCAGGCGAATATTATAAATGTTGATAATCAAGGAGACCTTCAGCCTTAATGGTGGAAAACACCAGGCAACTGTTACTCATAGACATATAACATAGCATTAGATAAAGGGGAAAGCACAGAATGCAAAGTGCATCTGGAACGCAGAGAAAATGTGTGCTGATATATGATTTGCTTGCATGGGCAGTGTTCCAGCAGAAGGATATTTCTGTGGGTCATGTAATCTCAATATGCCCGAGACAGGCGATTTTAATGCCAGATTGGGATACAAATTAAGGTATAAAATTGTGTCTGAAGTGTTGCACTTTTTTTTCTATTTTGATAGGCATGTTTTTTAATTATCGATGAGGTGAAAAAAATGTAGGTTGAACTAACACACAAGGAGTCTCACTGTACGTTTTTCCGCCCTAAAATGGGCATTTGGGGATATCTAACTTTGAAACATCTTTAAGTATTTACAGAATGTGTAGGGCACTTGACATTTTAATATCAGGTTTACAGTTGTCAGTTAAAACTGCTTTCTCGTAATCCTATTTTACAGAGCAAGTTTATTTTTAATTTTTTTTAAACCCTCAATCATTCCATAATTAATTGCCACGGTGAAGTTTTGTTTTTACAAGTGACTTCTATAAAGGCAGTAGCCAATGCTTAGCTGAAATCTTGGAATCTGGTGCCTCTGGTCAACCCATTCTTGAGTACCTTTCAGCGCAGGCAGTAGTTTCTGTTCTGTGTGTGTGACACTGTGCCTCAACGCAGTCCAGTTGACAGAGTCTTGCTGAAACTTCACATCCTT